AGAGCTGAGTTCGCTCCTGAGCGCTGATTCTTTCCAGACCAGGCGGTGACTAGGAGTAACGAGGTAGCTGTTGACGTCCGCAGCCCCGTTTTCTCCCTTATCTTTGTTATTTATGATAATTCCAGACTTTGTAAAATATTAGTAAACTCTGTAGTAACTCATGACTTGTGACACCCCGATTTCGGGCTGAGTTGGGAGGGTTTTCCTTGTTCTATCACGTTTATTTCGCATTTAAGATTATATTGCCCATGATTTAGACTTATTCCTGCTAAGTAATTATAAGAGATGTATTGTTTTGTTGATTGGCTGGCCTTGTCCTCACGAGAGGCGCCATCACGACCGGGTTGGGATTTTGGGTCGTGACAAGCTTCGATAAGGGTCGGCAAAAGAGGGTCGAGAAAAAAAACCCGGAAAAGGGCCAAAACTGCCCCTAACCTATTCGCTTAAGTCTAAAAATACCATCCGTCCATCTATTTTGTGAAAATTGCCCTCACCGTTAAAAATCTGGCCCATTCATGCTCTCACCGTTAAAAATTTGGCCCATTCATGCCCTTGTTTCAGACGGATATTTGTTGAAATAAAAAAATTATTTTATTATATATGACGTGGCAATTGCGTATTGATCAAAATCAAAAATTCAATTCTAACCTATATCTTATATGTATATAACCCAACAACGATCCATCTTAGTCCTTCCAACCCGTTAAACTCTTTTTAGTCCCTCAACCATTCGATTCCATACCCGACTCATGATCCAATCGTTATTTAGGTTTCAATTGTTAAAATTTTCATATTTTTCTTTTTATTAATTTATTATTTGGTCCATTTCCCTGTTCATCTTCCCCAGCCTAATTATCGCCTAAAGTTTCCCAACCAAATCACTATCGATGAACTGTGAAGCTAATTTGCTCACATGATTTCAATTAACTCTTAAAAGTTATATAGTGGCACAACAAATATAACGTTGGTAGAAAGATAACTTATTAAACTATAAAATCTTACATTCATTAATTTAATTTCAAAGAATACCTGATTTTACTCAAAAAATTGATTTAACAAAAATGTTAATTTAAAAATTAAATTAAGGCCGAAAAATCTGAGACGGAGAGGGAGATCCATTGGTGTTGAAGGGTGAAAATCTAAGACAGAGTATGCTAATAAGTGGATATGGGGTGAGGTTTTAATTTAAGCCAATAGAAAATTACCACATAATAAATAATAATTTTTTTTCTTAATTAAAATAGGGCCGTTAGTTTTTAGGATATGAGTAAGCCGAAAAGTTAACGTTAGAAGTAATTTTTACAAAATAAATGAACGGAGGGTATTTTTAAACTTAAGCGAATAGATTAGGGGCAGTTTTGGCCCTTTTTCCAAAAAAATAAAATAAAATGATCTCCCTGCAAGGCCATATGTTTTAATCGATTAAATTAAGGACCATGCAAAGAACGACGCATAACAAGTCATTATCTACAAAGTTGAAAGCGAGATAAAGTTCATAGTTCCAGATATTTCTAGAATGAACTGCTGGAGACATAATAATACATGATGATATATCTGGAATTTGCTTCCCGAACTTAGCTATAGTTCAAAGGTATGGTTACACAAATAGCCGACCAAATTTAATGTTTACTTTTTTTAGTCGGTACATATAGACTATACATTGATTATATATATATATATATATATATATATAATCAATGTATATTATACATTCGTCGACTATTTTTAGTTTAAGGGATTAGGTATGCGGTTATTTGGGCTCTTGATGATACTGCCATTTGTACGATCAATCACAATCTCTTAGACATCAAAATATCACAACGCTTAACAGCTTGTTTGGATGGTGGTTACCTATTGTATTATATCGTATTGTTACTTTAAATATGATGTTTGTTTTAGTTGTTACTTAAATTTTATTGTATCGTATCGTTAAATCCGTCGTTACGTAACGATGAAATGTGTCACTTTATGTAAAGACCGATTTGGTGTGGTTGCATCGTTATCTTATCTTTTTCTATCATCTCACCCTTCATTATTAATTAAATAATTTTATTTTATTATTTACCCTACCTGTTTATATAATAAATTTACCTCGTATCATAATTTTTCTTTATAATATTTCAAATTTATTCTTCATGTTGCTGGTTCATGATATCATGAAACAACGGCAAACGATACAATCTATCCAAACATTGTATTCATCAAACAATATAATACAGTACAATACAATACGATACATTATGAAACGACGTGTAATGACCCTCCAAACAAGCTGTAAGATGGCCCCAAAAGACGATGTTGGACTTAATTTAAATTAATTCTGTGCTGAATCTCTAATCATTAAACTGAAACTTTGCAGATATGCTGTGTTCTCTTGCCCAGTGCGGTTTGAGTTTTCAACTACAGTTTTTTCAAAATATAGTGTCATTTAGAAGTCACTCTAATTGAGAAAAAGTGAAAAATAAGAAATTTGTGTCATGTCGTCAAAACTTTGTGGTAGAAGGTAATTTCATATAAACAAAACTTAAATTCTAAAGACGGAAATAGTAAAATTGATTAGAAAAATGTAGTCCACTTTCCATGTTCTGCGCATTAAAGATTCTTTTCTTTTTATTAAAGGATTAAAAGCAAAATGTCCAAAAGTTCTTTAATTTCTACATCCCAGCGGGAAACTTTAAGTCAAAATTCTTCAGATGCGTTAACGCATCAATTTTTTCTTTTTTCTTTATGAGATATGCATCAACCAAATTTCAAGTATTGAAACATTAATTTTATCATTAACTTCATAGAACATGAATCACAAAAACTGGATAACATCTAATTGGGTTGAGCTTTTTCATATAATTAAAAAGCTAAGCGGAAAGGAATTAAACTAATTTCTACTCCTTTTAGTTCATCTGTGTAACACTTAGATTAATAAAAGGCAATCATTAAATGGGATGAATCGATGGAACCTTGTGGAAAATAGGAGTTATAAATACATCTCTCATAAGCCTGAAACAGGAGGTCAAGTGACATAAATGGGCTGGCCAGACACCAGCATATATACTTTGATAATGAAGAACTGCATACAGCTACCTGAGCCTATCTTCACCAACAATGGCGAGAAATGATCCTGTTGAAAGACAAATATTTAGCATTTTCGATAAAAATGATAATGATTTAATTATACCGCAGTGAATCAACTCACATTTACATGTAGCACTGACTAAATGTTCCAGTGGACAAATTTACGATAGCTGCAGCTAGCCCTGTAAAGAACTTTTTAACTAAAGCTTCGGTAGGAATTCAGAGAATGAAACCATTAGATGAACAATGTCAAGAGTTTGTTCAGCAGTGATATATAAGACATGATGTCTAAGCCAACAACATATAGTCGTAAAAACACACGTATTTCACCTGCATTGAAAATCCAAACTTATGTACAGCTAGGGGGGTTTAAGCATTTATAAACTTTTGATGCAGGTTGCTTATAGGTAGGTATGCTGCTAGCATCAACATATCTAACTTCTCCTGGCCCAAAAGACAGATCCCTATGCCTGCAAATATGATGAGAGGAACATGTCAACAAGAAAGCAAAAGCCATTCTTCTAATATCGGAGTGACCTAAACTGCAAGCAACAGATCTAGTAGCGGCCACTTGCCTTCGAAGATCAAGCCCTGTTAAACCAGCTTGCAGAATCGTCAAGTTGTCAGAATCTGGTGAGACTATGATGACTGTGTCCTCAGAGTATTGAGTTTCAAGAATTGACATAACTTGTGTTACACGAACAAAGACATCCGAAACACTCTCATTAGGTGTTCCATCATCTGTAGGGGGTGGCTTTATATTCGGAGAAAGGCTATCTGATTCATACACCTGCAACATTATATCTGCAACTTATTTTAACAAGTCATGTATTTAGGCCAATTTGGTTCTTGATTGCTACCCCCCCCCCCCCCC